TCACTGCAACCTCCGCCTCCCAGGTTCAAGCGATTCTCCTGCCTCAGCCTCCCAAGTAGCTGGGATTACAAGTGTGCACCACCATGCCCAGCTGATTTTTGTATTTTTAGTAAAGACGGGGTTTCACCATATTGGCCAGGATGGTCTCGATTTCCTGATCTCATGAACTGCCTGCCTGATTCTAAGAAATAAAATGTTTTAAAGAGTGTACTGTGAACAACCATATGACAACAAAATGAATAATCTAGATGAAATGGACAAATTTCTAGGTATAAAAAACCTAGCAAGACTTGATTACCAAGAACAGAAAATCTGAATTTATCTATAACTTATAAGGAAATCAAATCAAAAATCAAAAACCTGCTGATAAAGAAAAGCCCTTGTTCTGATGGCTTCAGTAGTTAATTCTACCAAACATTTTGAAAGACTGAAAATCTTTTTCAAACGCTTCCAAAAAATTGAAAAGCAGAGCAGTTCCAAACTCATCCCACAATCTCAGCATTACCCTGTATCAAAGCCAGAAAAAGAAACTACAGAAAACTACAGATTAATTATCCCTTGTGAAGACAGATGCAAAACTCAATGAAATTCTAGCAAATAAAATTCAGCAGCATATTAGAAAGATGATCTCACCATGACCAAGTGGCATTTATTCTTAGAATGCAAGGGTGTCTTACAACATGAATTTTTTAAGGTATAAAAATTGATCAATGCGTACACATTAAAAAAATAAAAGAAACATTGATCACCTCATGGATGCAGAGAAGAGTATTTTATAAAATCCAAAATCTCTTCAGGGTGAAAACACTCAGAAAGGTAGGAATTTTAAAACTAAAACACTACCGTTGTGAAATCTACACTTTGAAAAACCACAGCAAACAATGTACTCCAAGGTGAAAGACAAAAAGCTTCTGCTCTAATCTCAGGAACAAGGCAAAGGTGTCTGCTTTTGCCATTTCTATTCCACATAGTGTTGGAAGCTCTAGTCAGAGTAATTAAGAATTAAAAAGAAACAAACTGTATCCAAATTGGAAAGGTAGAGGTAAAATTACCCTAGCCTACAGATAATATAATTCTTTGTGGAAAACTCTACAGATTTCACAGATCCACACAACAATTATTACAACTAATAAATTCAGCATAGTAGCAGCATACAAAATTAACACGCAGATATAACTTGTGTTTCTATATAGTAATAATGAATAATTAGAAAACAAACTTAAGCAAACAAGCACATTTACAATAGCATTGAAAAGAATAAAATACGTGGGGAGTAACCAAAAAAGCAAAAAATTCTATTTTGCAGAAATAGAAAAATCCTACCTAAATTTCATATGGAATCTCAAGGGACTCCGAAGAGTCAAAATTATCTTGAAAAAGAAGACCAATGTTACAAAATTTACACTTACTCATTCCAAAGCTTAATACAAAGTTCCAAAATAGTGTGGTATTGGCAAAGAGACAGACATATGGGCACTGGAACAGTATAAAGCAGTATATGGTCAAATAATTTTTGATGGGGATACAAAGACCATTCAATGGGCATCGGACTGTCTTAATAACAATTGGTGCTGGGAAAAGTTGATAACTACATGCAAAAGGATGAAGTTGAACCTTTGCCCTACACCGTAAACAAATAAAAATGCATCAAAGACCTAAAGGTAAGAACTTAAAGTATAAAATTTTTGAATAAAATATAGGTAGAAAACATCATGACAATATCACAAATATAATGACATATTTTAAAAAAGTAGATGTGGCTGGGTGTGGTGGCTCACGCCTGTAATGCCAGCACTTTGGGAGGCAGAGGCGGGCAGATAACGAGGTCAAGAAATCGAGACCATCCTGGTCAAAATGGTGAAATCTCTTCTTTACTAAAAATACAAAAATCAGCTGGGCATGGTGGCGCATGCCTGTAGTCCCAGATACTTGGGAGGCTGACGCATAAGAATCGTTTCAACCCAGGAGGTGGAGGTTGCGGTGAGCCGAGATAGGCCACTGTACTACAGCCTGGCGACAGAATGAGACTGTCTCAAAAAACAAAAAACAACAAAAAAAGAAAGTAGGTGTAAAACTATCCATAGTATATACTCTCATTTATATAAAATCCAATAAGAAAACAAAACTGAAGTTCTGGTTTCAGTAATACTGGATTAGCTTATTCGCTTATTAAGCTAACACTCTCACAGGTAACAATGATACAATCTGGATACAATATTATATATAGTTACATAGAAACACTCATCTATACATATGTGTGTGTAACTGAATGAGGATTTCAACCTTTCCCACTGTAGGGAAGATAGTTATTTCAGTTTGAATTCAGCCACATTTACCCCCTCTTCAAATAATAACAATGCTCTTCCAAAGAATACAACAGAATTTAGAGTCTCTATAACTACTATTTATAATTTATATTACACAATATTAAAATTCATAAAATGTGTGAAGAAATGTGAACATGCAAACTATACACAAGATAAAAAGCAGGCAGCAGAGCTATTTCTAAGATGTCCAAGATGATGTAGACAAGTATTTCAGGGCAGCTATTATAAGTACGTTCATGGTGGTAAAGGAAAATGTTCTCATAATGAATTAACTCATGTAGAGTCTCAGCAGAGACATGGAAATTATAAAAAGAGTAAAATAGAAGATAATAAAATAAAAAGAACTTTTAGTTTATAAACAGAGTAGAAACAGAAGACAACAATAGAAACTATCCAATCTGAAGACTGAAACAAGTTTAAAGAAAATGAAAAGAGCCTTAGAGACCTGTAAAATGATTGAGTTTGAGACAGAGGGAGAGACAGAAAAATTAAATACAAAAACAAATAAACCACTAATAGCTGAAAAGTTAAAAACTTGGTCAAAACCGCAAATTTTTATATTCACACTCCAAAACAAAAACAAAAACAAATAAAACCATATCGAGGCCCTATTGTGATTTAGAAAACTGGCAGAGCAAGATTTTCCAGGATATTGCTGTGATTTCTCATTTTCACTATAATAACGGAAAATATGCTCTTCTTAGTTTTCTTCTTGGAGAAAGTCTGACTTGTCAAGGACAGATGACTTTTTTAGTCTAGTTTTCAAGGTTTAATTTCTTACCTTGGAAATCAATTAAATTTGTTTCTTTAAGACGTCGCAGTAAAATTGCTCCTCCAGACAGATGTCCACGGAGATTCTGTCCTGCTGCGTCTGCTTTCACAGAAGTGAGGTTGTGCCTACACCAGTTTCAGAAGCGTGTAGGCACGCTTTATTACAGTGGCAGGAGCGTCCCTGTGCAAGGCCTGACCCAGGTGTGGGCCCTGCAGCCAGCCCGGGGGTCCAATGGGTCCTCCTATGGAGCACAGGAAGAATCGTGGCAGGCCAGAGAGATAGAGAAAAGGTGGCTTTTAAAAGGGAAGTGCCAGGTTACCAGGGACTGGGTACTTTCACATGAGGCAGTGAACTGACAGTTTCAGATACTCAGGAGGGAGCTTCCCGCTGGACTCATTTCAAACAAGCCCAAGAACTGTCTGGCCCGCGGGCTGTCGGTCCCGCCCATAGAAAGGGGCAGCACTGCGCATGTCTGAAGGCGTGTGGCAAAGGGAGGGGCAATAAGAAGGGCGGGGAAGAAAGGCGTGGCCTCTCATGGGGAAGGGGCGGGGAGATCCCAGCTACTGGAGGACGCCGGTTCCAATGGCAACCCTGCTGAGGCGCCTCTGAGAGCCTCTTGGCTTTTACCTGGTCTGCAAGAAATCAAACTTTGGGCACAAGTCATGAAGCTGACAAGCTGGGGAGACACAGTGTCAGATTTACCAGGTGAAATCAGCCGCCCGGCCAAGCTATCTTCTCTCTGGCAAGAGAGGCCTGTGAACAGCCAAGCTCCCCTTGGCACTGCGGAACCGCAGTGGACGCGTGGAGGCGCTCGGTAGAGGGGGGACTTTTGCTTGGGATGCGGGGAGCTGTAGTCTCTTATCCGTACCCAGCCTGTTAGTTGTAGGCCTGCAGGACTACAATCTCGGCACAAACCAGGATTGTAGGGCAGTGCGGATCCCAGGAGGGAGACACAGCGTGGTGCGCTCCTGCCGGGCATGCTGACTAGGGTAGTGTCTTAGGTGCTTCCAGCTGTTAGTCGCAGGGCTGCAGGACTACAATCCCAGCATGCAACGGGAGTGTAGGTGGTGACCTTGAGGGAGGGCCTGTGTGGTGCGCGCCTCGCCGGGCATGCTGGGAACAGTAGCATCTTAGCTGCTTCCGTCCGCTGGTCGCAGGGCTGCGGGACTACAATCTCCTCATGCAATGAGAGAGAGGATGGTGCGGATACGTTGAGGGAGGTACGGATACCTTGAGGGAGGTACATCGGCGGTGCGCGCCTCGCCAGGCTTGCTAAGAGGAGTAGTGTCTTAGCTGCTTCCGGCCGTTGGTCGAAGGGCTACCAGACTACAATCCCACCGTGCAACAGGAGTCAGGGTGGTGCGGTACCCTAAGGGAGGGGCAGCGCCATGCGCGCCTCGCCGGGCATGCTGGGAGGAACAGTTTTTAAACTGCTTCTGGCCATTGATGGCAGAGCTGCGGAACTACAATCCCAGTAGATTGTACTGGGAGTGGGGATGATGCTGGTACCTTGAAGGAGGGGCAGCGCGGTGCGCTCCTGCCGGGCATGCTGATAATAGTATGTTAGCTGCTTCTGGCCATTGGTCGCAGAGCTGTGGGACTACAATCCCAGCATGCGCAAAGTTCAGGGCTGTTGCGCAGCCCTGCAGCGAGGGGCAGGGCAGTGTTGACCTCTGTTTCCAAAGCCTTGCTAACCAGTGAATCTGTGCCACTCCTGGCCAAGGGGAGTGAGTCCAGAGAGACTTGAAGAGCAGGTCTGGGCTGGGCAGTAAGGAGAGTGTGATGCTGCAAAGTGCACCTCGCCTTTGCCATAATCGGTCGGGTCTCAGGCTCACCCCACCTCCGGCTACTCAGTTCGGTTTCCCTCCAGAGCATCAAGCCTCCTCCTGCCCAGGGGGCCTCCTGCTTTCCTAAGCTGCTGTAGGCTTGAGGTCCCAGACGCTGTTCATTGTGCTGCTGCCCTCTGTTTTCTCCAGCCAGAGCGCCAGTTCACCCGCTTTTGGGAGAACTCTGCCGCCTGGCCTGCCCGCGGACAAGGTCACAGCTTTGCATGGGGGTGACATGGGCTGTGGCTTCCTGGAAATGTCACCCTCACCAGCGCCTTTTACATGGATGTGAATTTTGAGACATGAGGGAGGGTAATTATTGGTTTACCCAGGAGATGCTAAGAGCAGAGGAGAAAACCCTGATTTCCAGGTATGTGTACTGAACCAGGGACAGGCTGGCCAGACCCTGAGCCCCCAGTGCCGCCAGAGAGCAGCCTACTGCCCTGATTTATATGGAATTCCCTTCATGCTGCCGGGCCTTAGCGTCAGGGACAGCCCAGTCAGGTGAAGGTGGGGATGACTTCATGGGCTTCTGGAGATGAGTTCGTGGTCCTGGGAGGGCCAGCCCATCCCCCCTTGGAGACGGTCTCTGTGTGGTCAGTTTTTCCACCCAGCCCATCTGGCCCTTACAGGGCTGCCCCCCATGGACCTGGGTTTGTAGGGTCCTCCAGGGCTTTGTGTGGCCCACTAGTTCTGATACTGAGGACACCCCTGCAGGCTGTTAATTTCAGAGCAAGGGGTGTGTGCAGACTGGGGCATAGGTGCTGTCAGGGTACCCCAGGCTGCTCCAGGGACAGCACCCCAGTGTTCAGCTTGGCTTGGGACTCTCTGCCTCGTGCCCTTACCCCAGGGCTGCTTGGCCTGGGCTTGAACCCTGGTCCAGAACTCAGGTGGGAGAGGCCTTAACTGTCACCTGGCCCCATTGCCACCTAATATAAGGGCCTGTATGCACAGTGGGTGAGACGCCCCTGGGCACTGGGCTCTTCAGTCATCCAGGGCCATGCATTCCATGGCATGAGTTCCCACATTCAGCTGAACTCTGTCTGGCTCTGGACTGGGGTCCCTCCTGTGCCCTTTCCCTGAATCCTCTCTGGGTCCGAGACACTGATTCTCTTCACTCTCTGGCTTAAGGCTTGTTCTCCTGACCTCCTTGGAGGGACGCTCAGGATTCAAGAGCCCCTGCTTCTCTCTGGGGCTGTCGGTATTCGCAGGTGTGGGTGTTGGCTTGCACTGAGAAGTCCAAACCCTTCAGTGCCCTTCAGGGGTCCTTTGAGAGCAGGAGTGATAGGATGTGGGGGAGTGCCTTAGAGGGGTCTTGCACTCATCCCCTGCTCTATCTCTGAGATGTGTCCAGTAAACCCAAGGTCAGCACGTCAGGAATGAAATAATGTCTTTTGCAGCAACTTCAATGAAGCTGGAGGCCATTATTCTACGTGAAATAACTCAGGAATTAAAAATCAAATACCATATGTTCTCACTTATAAGTGGGAGCTAAGCCATGCGTATGCAAAGGCATGCAGGGTGATATAATGGACTTTGGAGACTCAGACATGAGGGTGGCAGGTGGATGAGGGATGAAAAAACTTGCTGTTGGGTACAATATATACTACTCAGGTGACAAGTGCTCTAAAATCTCAGAATTCAACACTATATAATTCATTAATGTAACCAAAAATCACTTGTACCCAAATGATACTGACATTTAAAAAAAATTAAAATTTTTGTTTAAAAATTATAATAAAAAGTTTAAAAAAAAAAAAAAACAGTGTAAAAGTGTTAGTTTCTAGTACATTACATAGCAAGCCCCTTTTGCTTAGTACCACACTCAACTACTGAAGAAACAAAACCCTGAAAATTAAAGAAGAACCTGCACATAAATAATAATTCTGACAAGTTATTTATACACTGCCTATATGAATATTACAGATATGTGCTAAAGACGAAGATGTAAGTTAGATCGGGTCAGCTTTATGCTTGGTCATTTTATTTCCAATTCTTCTCTCTCAAAATACAGCAGTCATGGATGGCCACGGTGATTATTCCAAATGCATTGTGATCATATGGAACTGGTGACATGTTCTAATTTCTCTTTCAGTTATAAAATAAGCCTGATGTTCCTAGCCACCAAAATCTCACCAACACCTACTACTTCAGTTTCAACTCTGGTTCCTATTTCAAGGAAATCACTCAAGGTTGCAAATCACGGAAAGACAAGAATGTTTTCATTAACCAAAACATTAATAAAAAATTATACCCCTCGAGGCCATATAATTTGGCTTTTATTTAGTTTTTATTTAGTTTATTGTCTATTTAGGTCCACAAAGCCTACAACTGCAACAATATATACAGTTCATCATGACCTAATATTTATTGAATAGTAAAATTAATACATGTTAAGAGTAAATCTGGCTTCAGGTAATGAGGGCTGAAGTGATAGGTGCAGTGGTCAAAGACAAATGTCAATGAAACGCACAACAATACTTTAAATGTCTCAGAATAAAGTCACATAGGAGAATAAATGAAAGAAAATAGAAAAGTTGTTAATTAGTTAATTAATTAGAAGGAATTAAACCTGATTTTAAAATAGAGAGATAAAGACATACAATATAAAATTACTGAAGAACAAGTAGCATAGGCAGAGGAGCACTAAAGGTATGATAGGAAAGAAATGTATCTGAAAATATTAGTTTCTGAATTAAGATTGTAAATGTAGAGACCAGACAAAAAGAGTTGCTCCTACACATTAACAAAACAAGCAAAAACGCTAGAGAAGCTACAAATGAATGGTCGGTTCTTCCTGAGCCCTTTAGAGAACTGAGGTCACAGGGGAAGACAACAAACTCAATATCAGGGCATGCAGGAGTGCACCCTGAAGACCATGTGAACTGGTATAATTACGCCAGAACATTTGAACTAGTTTCTGGTGGCTGGTGTGTGGGTAGGTGAGGAGAATGAGAAACCCTGGAGTCTACAGACATAGAGTTTACATTTTTGTGTATATTATTTCTAGGAACCCTCCAAGGTCTGTTAGAGAAGAAGGGGTAGAATCCCGAGAATGTTTTCCCCACAGTGCTGATGGGGAGAGACCACTATCCCATCTACTGCTACAACTCTGGAGACATGCTTCTCCCACCTCCCCTATATGACACAAGGCCTAATCTGCAGAGAAAGAGCATCCAAACCTGATCCAGTGGACACTGTGGAAAAACTCACCACAGCTGAGTGTGGAAAAACAAGGCCAACACACACATCTCTGCACAGATACATCTCTCATAAAGAAATTAAAGTGTTAAGTTACCGGGCACTGTTGCAGACCCACTTCAACTGGAAGCTAGGAACATGGACAAGGAGCATCTGTACCACTGGGGGAGATACAGCAATGTGCTTTTGTCCTGGCATTGCATCTACAGGAGGGGCAGGAAACTCTTTGAAGTGACCCCACACCCCAATTAACAGTGCTAAGTGTGAGGCTCCCTCAGAACATCAGAGATATCCTCACTCCCTCACCCCTGCCACTAGGCTAAGAAGCATGGAGTTAA